CCCGGAATCAAACAAATATTAGTAGGCCATGTTCTTTAGTCACAAACCGCAGGAAATCAAGATTTTTAACGGATTACCTATTGATCATCAAAGAATAGGTTTTGCTCTAAAGCAACCCGGTCAAAGAAGCGAAGTTCTTTATGAAATAGTGCTTCAAACAGCCGATTGGAGCTTAGATAGGAAAACACCCGAAAGATGTCTTGAAAGTGGCTTAAAGGTCACGATCATAGCCATTGAGGAGGTTTTCGTTGGATGTCTCGTATCAATTGTGTCCCTGTGGTGAACTGAACAAGTCTTTTAGTATATAGTCTAGCTCCGCCCCCCCTTGCATCCCTTGACCCCTCTTCCCTCCTCCATCCCTTAATCCCTCGTCCCCTTTACCCTCTCTCCTAAATCCTCCCTTAAACCCTCCTTTAGTACCTTACTCCCCTTTCCCCTCTTCCCTTAAACCCTGCCCCCCAGCCGCTCAAAAGAGATGGACAATCTCTTTTTCGCTAGCCCATCACCCTTTAACCCTGCTTTCCCTTGACCCGGCCGGCCGGACAAGAACAAGAACACTTCTTCCGGACTGGAAGCTTCAACCCAGAAACGCATCTTTCTCTTTATTAAGCAATTCTTACTTAAATCAGAGAAGAACGGAACAAAACAATTCCTAACAAAAGGGGGGGAAGCCGGTTCTCCTAAATGATCATCACTTCATCCGCGAAGAATTCCTATTTGAGTCGTAGCTCAACGTCTCGTCTTGCTCGCTTTGGTTCTGCTGCGAGAGTAGAAAAGTTCGACTCAATCTCATATACGACATTCTTTGTATCGATTGACTCCTATTTTGTGATTTGCTGTGTGTGCTTCATCTACGCAATGACTTTCCTTGTGCGTGGAGATACGTTGCAGAATATTCAGAGGAGAGTGAGGAAGTCCGTTTTGATCATTTTTGACGTAAAAGAGAGGTTGCTGTTCTTCCCTAGACCATTAATAAAAAAGAAGCAAGAAAGAGGTTTACGTTAGCCTTAGATCCCTAAAGGAAGTGTGACTCTTTTGTACAATAGATATGGATGGTGAAATAGGTCTTCAACAACCGATACAGGAACAAGCCCAGAAAGAGCAGAGTGAACCTGACCGCGGGGAGGGAGTCCTTTATTAGAGCTCCATTGTGGATGAACGGGGGAGGTTGCCTTATAGGAGGCCGATGGAGTCAAGAGGGGAGCCAGGACTTGGGTAAATACACTGGAGAAAAAAGAACCCTATCATAGAATAATAGGAGACCAGGCACAAGAGAGTTCTTATCACACAAGAGTTCAACTCATGTTTTCCGAAGAACCCTAATCTCCGACCAGGCTGGATAGAGCTTCGCTCAATACCCCTTACCTACAGTCCAGATATCAGGTATTCAAAATTGATTCTATATAAGTCACGATTATATATCGTTCAGAAATGCACGCTATACTTATACTTACAGGTCTGACTACTCCTTAGAAGGGATATATAATCATCCCTAGAAGACCGACGAGCATCTACGTCCTCACTTGTGAATTTAAACACAGTGTTACATATTCAAAGTAAGAAGTCACAGTTTCATCGATCTTTTTCTCCCATTTTTTCTTATCTTTAGGAGATATTTTCTTAACCAGATCTCTGAAGATATTTCTTATATAGTCCTCATGAAGAGGTGAATCAATCGTCCCGCAATGTAGGAAGACTATTCCTAGCAATATTCTCTATAAGAAAGTCATTTATGATTTTAAATGGGTGCCCCATCTCAAGAAACACATTACTATAAATATTAGGAATCTCAGCTGCGAATTCTGGTGTTGTTAGAAAATTGTCATGAACAGTGTAGATTGGTGCTTTCATTAGCTGTATTTGTTCCACTACCTTCATGGCAATATAGGCATCTTTTTGATGAATAAAGTTCACGCATGTAGCCACTTGAGTCTTCCTAGAGTCCCTATCCACCGTAGGCACAGTTAGGCTAACCCGATTTCTTTTTTTGGTGATCCTATTGTATACCCAAATCTCTGCGGTAGAGCTTTTCCTATAATCTTGCACAGTTGTGAGGATGGGCGTACTATAGAGCACTGGTAAATTGGAGACGGAACACCACCATCCAATGAGGTTAAGTAGCTTCATGAGATTAACTATGTCAGGATACTTTTCGTACCAAAATTCCTTGCACAGCTTTGCTATGTGATAGGATTCTATATTAGTAAGCTCATAAAACTGTTTTATATCTGAAGCCATGGTTGTCAAGGTCTTCCCATAAATTAAAGGCATATAGAGCAGTTTGACTATTTTTCTAGTGAGCTTAGATTCTATGAATCCATATTGATTGCGATTCAACTGCGGTTTCAAGAAGACCAGAAGCTCGTCTTTCAAAGACGCATAGATGTCCTGTATTTTCCCATCTGGAGAGGGAAGAATATTCGTGCGTATCCCTAATTCCTTGTTAAGAAGTAGGTAACTCATGATCTGGTAAGCACCAGCACTCGCATCCTTAGTAACAGGAACACAATGAAGAGCGATATCTCTTTCATTAGCCAGAACCTTACCTAAGAATTGGAAAGGATCACTCGCTTGTTTAGCTAAGAGAATGAGGCTCTTGTCTGAAACCATCTTGTCTTGACAGTAATCTCTATACCAACAATAAGCTTGTTCAATGGTCTGAAATTTCTTAAACTTGAAGGCTGCCGCAGCTTCTAATGTAATTCTAAGATCAGGACTTTGTTCCTCTTTATTTTTCTTCGAAGCAGTCCAATCATGAAATGGAATATACAGCTTGCCTCGTCTTTCCCATACACTTGGTTCCATGGGCAAGGGGCTACTTTCTTAGTCAAGTACCTTAGTCTATTGGCCACCAAATACAACCGATTTTCTTTCTTCTTTTTGCTTTAAGCTACAGTTCAGAACTGATCTTAACCTCAAACAGCTGGGTTAGGCTTTGCCCCTTATCCTGTTGGCCCAGCGGCGAACATCTCAGAGTTTGTTGAAGCTTGTGTTGAGGCTGGGTAATACCTCTCTGTAATCTTTTCAATGTCGGTCTTGGAGCTTCTTTTGTTGTAAGCTAAGCTCCACCACCTTATCCCTCTTCTCTGGATTCGCAGAAGTGTCCTAAGCGGTTGACCTATTGATAAGAATCCGTTTTTGAATAAACAATTCAACAAAGAAACGATTCATACTCCTTTCCAACAAGTTCTCCAATGTAGGTGGTTTTCTAGTCTCTATAGAATGATCACTTTAGACTACGAGATCAGGTAACCCCCGAGTTCTACTTCTTTCCGAGTTCCCTTTTGTAGTAGTCGCGTCTGGTGGTATCGTATATGGGATGAGAGGTCGTTCAAGAGCGACTTCTTCCCTTCACTTCTGAAGTTCAGCCTTCAAAAGAAAGCTTTCCTTGCCGTAGCTGTACTTAGCCTTATCAGAGCTGACCTTAAAGCACATCGTGCACCTCCTCTGACAACCGATGAGAAGCAAAGGAGCTGGCTATGAAGGAAGACAGAAGTCAGCCTGCCCAATCTATCTTAGAACTCCCAGACATGTACAAACAAGCAAGCCCACCCATTAGTAGAGTGAGTTATGAGGCTCTCACTCGGAATCTGGTCAACCGGTCACGTAAGCAAAGCCTACCCAGTCGACGAGCTATCAGCTCACCATACAAGCAAGAAGATGTAGCGATCAAGCAAGTAAGGCAGCTAGTTTGAACATTTTCTCTGACCCTCTCCTTAAGGAAAATAGGGTCGACTACTTTTGCAGCTATATGAGAATGAAGTTTTGCTGTTTTCAGATTGTCTTAAGATAGATCTGATTCTCAGAAAGTTGCGCAAGGAGATCTTCCTGACGAACGAGGTTTAAAGCAAGCCCACCTAACCAGTACGCTTTGATAGCTCAAGTCAGAGATAAAGGTCGCAGATATAAGTACCCCGAAATGCCCCGAGGCGGCGTTAGGGCGCGGAAGTGACTCACTCTAACTAGATAAGACTCCCTCCCGAACTACCTAAAGAACCCACCTAATCTTTGATCCTCTCTTCTCTAAAGCCAGTCATCATCGCACGCCTCTTCTGTAGTTGAACAGCTAGCGCGGGAAGTCGGGCACAAGCCACCGCTGTACCTCCAGAACAAGACCTCCTAACCGCTCGGTCAAGAGGAAAGGTTTTAACGAGGCGCCTTACCAAAGAAACAAGCGAAAAAGAGCGGAGTTGAGATGAGAAAAGTCGCAAAGGATAACGAGTGGAGGAGAGTTGATGAAAAGAGGGGTTAGGTTGGGATGCGATTGCGAGCGTTGACTTACATCTTGGCAGACAGGGAAACTTGCTTCTACACCTAATGGATCAAAAGAGACAGGCTCATTAGGAGTCGCATCTAAAATACGAAAGAACACAGACCTCTTTCTATATTGTACCCGTCACCCTATGGCACTAGAGGCAT